AACTTCAGCTGGAAGCAATGGCTGCCACAGCACAGCTGGCAGAAACTACGCAGTTACCTGAGTAGTATGTTTTCATTTCAGCACATTCAACATTTCAGCACAAGTGCTACCAATGTCTTCTTTGAATGCTGTGCGAAGACCAAGCAAGACTAGGCGTAAGGCTTCTGTCCAGTGTGTGCTACCTGAGCAGCCTTTAAAAATCAGAATTCACGATGTCATGCCACGTTTCAACCCTAAAGAAGATGAAATAAGTTTATTCCTGGTGTTATTTGAGCGTCAAGCTAAAATAATGAATATACCTGCTGAAAATCAAGTGACTCAACTTATTTCATTACTGCCTCCTGACACTGTTCAGCTTATTGCTAGAGAACCAGAAGAGGAAGTGAAAAAGTATGAATATGTAAAAACTTTACTGTTACAACGATTTAAATTGACTGCCAAAAAATTTCGACAACTATTTAATAAACACCAAAAATCTACTGAAAGTACTTGGTATGATTTCTACTATGAATTAAAAAATTATTTAGAAGGATGGCTTAACGAATTAAACATTAAAACTTTTGAACAGCTAAAAGATCTCATGCTGGTTGATCAAATAAAAAAGCGTACTTCTCCTGATTTCAAAGAACATTTTATGGATCAATGGACAACCATCATTTCACCTACTGAGATGGTTAAGAAAATTGAAGATTTTGAAGATGTGAGAAAAACAATAAAACCGAAATTTTCTGCCAATCAGACTGAGAAATTTAACAAAGGATCATTTAAACCACGTTATGATAATTTTGTGAAAAAAATAGAGCATCCGCCTCATTTTAAGCATTCTGATAGATGGGATGATTCAAAATACAAGAAAGATCATCAGCAAAGGAATCAGTTCCAAAACAAAAACCAAGAAAATTTATATGACAAAAGATATCGACCACGTTGTTTCGAGTGTGGATCATACGAACATTTTAAGCCTCAGTGTCCTCGCTTAAAACCAAATGAAAAGGTAAATTGCGTATCTTCGAATGATGATTTGTTAGAGACATATACAATTAACTGTTTGGTGAATGGGTATGAAATGCCTATTCTTCGAGACACAGGAGCCACTGTTGATGTTATTTCTCGGAAATACATAGATAACGCAAAAATGACTGGAGAAACATGTCTGGGTACAATATCTTTTAAATGACCATTTAGTGTGTCTACCGTTAGGGGAAGTTGAAATTAATTGCGAACTTGGTAATATAAAGACAAAGGCAGCTGTTGTTACAAATGATCCCGGAAGATATGTATTGGGTAACAAAACTGCACAATTGTTCAAAAATAAATCATTCTTAAATTTAGAAAAAATAAATGCGGTTTTGACACGATCTCAAGTAAAAGGATCTCCTGAAGATGATCGAAGCAGAGAAATTGAAATGGAGAAACTAGAAGAATTGAATGAGTTTATTGACACTGACGAAGATATTTTATTTTACCGCAAGCTGATGAGGAAGACAAGGAAATTAAGAAAGTGATTAATGTTAATTCAAAGGAATTAATTGAATCTCAGCATCAAAGCAGAGATCTAGCGTCATTGCTTAACGAAGCTAAAAATGAAAATTCCAGCAAGACAAATGATTTCAAAGTAAAAGAAAACGGATTGTTGGTGAAAAGGAAAATAGATAAAAACGGAAATGAAAGGGAATTAATTGTTATTCCTGAAAAATATAGGGATCAAATAAAGTCATTATGTCATGATAGCACATCTGGACATTTAGGCGTCGTCAAAACTAAAGATAGATTAACAAGATACTTTTACTGGCCTAATTGCTATAAAGAAATAGAAGAGTATGTTAAAACTTGCGATCCATGTCAAAGAGTGGGAAAATCTAATGATAAAGCCAAAGCACCTTTGACTTTAGTACCAATTATTGCAGAAGTATTTTCAAAAATTAACTTTGACGCATGCGGTCCTTTACCAATAACACCGAATGGCAATAGATATTTAATTACAGCTATTTGTTTAGCTTCAAAATATCCGGATGCTGTACCTGTTCCTAATATTGGCACAACGTCAGTAATTGAAGCCATGTTACAAATATTTAGTAGAATGGGTTTCCCGAAAGAAATACAAACTGATCAAGGTACCTCCTTTATGAGCAATCTAGCCATAGAATTTGTAGAAAAATTTGGAATAAAAGTAACTAGAAGCTCAGTACACCATCCGCAGCAACCCTGTTGAAAGATTTCACCGAACAATCAAACGAATTTAAAAAGTTTTATGTATTGAAGCAGCCCCTGAGTGGGAGAAGCAAGTTCCCACAGCTCTATTTGCTTTAAGAACACAAACGCACGAGAGTACGGGATTTACACCTGCAGAATTAGTATATGGTCGAAATCTTAGAACACCTGTAACATTATTATATGAACAATGGATGAATCCTAAAGACGAAGGAAATAATGTTGTTGAATACGTTTTTCAATTGATAAATCAGTTAAAAAGATGCAAAGAGCTGGCTACAGATAAAATGATGGAAATGCAAACCAAAAGAAAGGTGTGGTACGATCGTAAAGCTATAAAAAGAGAATTCTCTGAAGGGGATTTAGTATTAGTTGTATCAACGAATAAACCAAACAGACTAGCAGTTGAATGGAAAGGTCTTGGGAAGGTTGAGAAGAAATTATCCGAAACTAATTATGTTGTGAGTTTCGAAGAAAAAAATGGCTTAACCAAGTCTACCATGTTAACATGCTAAAACCCTATCATAGACGAGCAGAATCGGTTAACCTTATGATTACAGAAGATCAATCTGAAATTGATGATATGGAGGAAAATTTCCCAACAATTGACTCTGAACCAACATTGTTCGATTTTGAGGACATCAAAGAAAACAGCTCCTTAAGTGATAAGCTAAATGAACAGATTCAACAGATTGAATGAACAGAACAACAGATTCAAGAATTGCATGATATGCTGCTGAAGTTTTCAAAAATCTTTTCTAATAAACCTGGAAAAACTCATTTAATAACGCATGATATTCAATTGACAGAAAACACCCCAATCCACTGTAAACCATACAGAATGTCTCCTAGACAAACTGATATATTAAAAACAGAAATTGATAAAATGCTTCAGCATAAAATAATTGAAATAGGAGATTCAGATTACACTTCTCCTATGATTTTAGTAGAAGTAGCAGGGAGGGATCCAAGACCTTGTATCGACTATAGAAAATTGAATAAATTGACTAAAACACAATTCTTCCCCTTGCCTAACATCGAACAACGAGTAGAAACGGTAGCAGGTGCAAAATATTATAACTCTTTTGGATTTAACAAAGGGATACTGGCAAATACCTTTAACACCTAATGCTCAAAGATTAGCCACTTTTGCTACAAGTTTTGGCACATTTAGACCTTTACTACGATGCCTTTTGGACTTAAAAATGCACCATTTTTCATTTAGTAAAATGATGGCCGAAATCCTTCACGGTTGTGAAAACTTTGCTGTTCCATATTTAGATGACGTGGCAATCTTTTCAAACACCTGGGAAGAACATCTAAGTCACCTGAAAGCCGTTTTGTCCAAAAATAAAGGACGCTGGTTTAACTATTAAACCTAATAAAATGTAAATTTGCTCAAGATAGAGTAAAATATCTAGGACATATTGTAGGTCGTGGTATAAGAATGCCAATGCAAGTGAAGTGAAAGTAAAAGCTATTCTTGATTTTCCAGTGCCATCCACAAAAAGTCAGGTCAGAGCATTTTTAGAATTAGCGGGATATTATAATCATTACATTACCATGTTCTCATCTATTGCAGCACCTTTAACAGAAACTTTGAAAGGAAACTTAAAGAAATTGAAAATAAATGGGACAGAAGCATTTGAAGAGCTAAAGGAGAAACTGTCTCAAAGGCCTATACTACATGCACCTGATTTCAATAAGGAGTTTATTTTGCAAACTGATGCGTCAAACTCTGGTATGGGTGTCATTTTAGCTCAAAAAGATGAACGAGACAATGAACATCCAGTATTATACCTCAGTAAGAAGTTTACAGAAACTGAAAAAAAAAAAGTACTGTACCACAGAAAAGGAATGCGCCGCCATAATATTTGCTGTAAAGAAACTTCAATGTTATTTAGATGGGCATACTAAATTCCTCATCATGACCGATCATAATCCCTTAGTTTGGCTCAAAAATAATGTGAGTCTAAATCTACAACTTATGAGATGGGGCACTGGTACTACAACCCTACAATTACACGATCGTTCATCGAAGTGGTAAAAACCATAAAAATGTAGACGCATTAAGTCGTACTCCCTGGCCTGATTAAATAATTTGTTTCTCTATGTAGATAAAAAAAGTATTTTGTTCCTTCCTCTCTTCCTCAGTGTATCTTATTATGTTATATCTTGTATTTCAATTCTGTATTTTGCTGATATTGTTGTTTTGAAAAGAAAAAAAAAAAAAAAACCGTAAACTTTAATTTATAAAAATATAAATTAAAGTATATCTGGAGGGGGGAGAGGTTGTAATATCTTGTTATTTAATAAATAAGTATAATTATTGTTGAAGTGGCAACAACATATTTGTATCAAACTGTTACTCAGCAACGAGAGATATTGTTAAAAAAAGATTAGTATTCTGAAGATTTTACAGCTAGGAGTAGGATGACAGTTTTGCCACTTAAGAATTGTATAACATTTGTCTATCACCGAGAACTAGAAATAAAATTTATGTTCTACTAAGAAGATTGTCTGTTTTGTAAATTACTGCAAAATACATTACAGTCTTCTCTAGAGATCAACACTTGTCTGCTGTGCATAAGCATATTTGGAATTTGTTCCTAAATGTCATAAAATCTTTTGGTTTCCAGCTGATAATCAAATACAATTTAAATTTTTAAGGTTACATTTTTGTTATGAGGATATCTGTCTTTTTTGAAAATTTTAAATCATTTGTGTAATATTTAATTATAATTTGCATGATTAAAATTCCTTTCGATCACTTTTTTTTTTTTTTCTAGAAAACGAAAAACACTTCTGTAAAAAGTAAAATTCAAAAAAGCATACTATTAAAGTCCAGTCAATCTTCAAAATGTGAATCAAACTTTCAAAATTTGGTTACAGAAGCTAGCAAAGAAAATATCAATTTTTTAAACTGGGGATCTGAGAATCTTGGACCTGATCAGTCATCGATATTTAAATTTGTTTCTACACCAAAAACAAGAGAGAAGTTTTTGTTGAAAGATAATGATGAATTACCGTCATCACCCATCCGAAGACAGACTTATACAATAAATCAAATGCTGTCAACTGGTGGCCGAGAATCAGCAATAATACCTGTTCCTGTACATGACTCTGGGACTCGCAAATCAATGACTGGAAATGTTTTGCAAGAGAGAACTGTTTCTCAGAATGCAAAACCTAAAAATATATTATGTCATAAAGTATCAAATGTAGCTGCTCAAAATATGTCAGGTAGTTGGCAGTGTGATTTTATAACTAAAAAATATGAAACTTCAATTAATAATCTTCAATCAATAAAGAATTCATTTTCAGAAAATGTGAAGGAAAAGCATGTTGATTTAACAGAAACAAAATGTAATCTTAAGCAAAGTTCTGTGAATAAATCTGCCAAAAATTCTTCAGAATGTTCAACAACACCAAATATTAAAAATGTGCCAAAGAAAGTATATTTTTTAAACGTTTCACCACAATTAAACAATAGCATCAAGATGAATATTGCACCAAATTCTGCAATTCTTGTTAGAAATGCACCGAAATTTCCATTTAAAAGTGCTTATGAGAAAGAAAATAAGCGAGAGACATTTATTAAAAATGACAGAGTGTTGAAAGAACATAATGATAGAGTTTCTCAGAAAGAAATTCAAGCATGTAATTCGGAGTCTTTAAATGATAATGATGATAAAAAAAGTGAAAATTTTTTAAAGTCTAGAAATATTGTTCAGATGATCAATCAAGAGACAAATAAAATAGAAATTGAGAAATTTGCAACAAATCCTGAAAGAACAAATTTTCAAAGTAAATCTGAATTTGTAAATGAATCTTTTATATCTATATTTGAAAGTACATTGTCCGATTCAAAAAATGTACCAGTTTTACTTCCTTCAGAAATGCCATCTTCATTTTCTGCTTTTGATAGCACAGTGCAAAATTCAGGAACTTGTTATACCTTTGATGCTACTGGGACAGAATCAGTGCCTGAAATATCTTATAATGCTAGCCATTTTAAGGATGACCTGAAACGTACCATTATTTCTCAAAAAAAAAACTTCAAATCACAGTTTAAATCTAAACCAACTAATTCACAAGCATTGAAAAGAGAAAACTCTAAAGGTAAGTGCTTGACACTTATTTTCTGTCTTCTCATTTAGTTTTCTGGTTATTTTTTATTTTATTTAGTACTTCCTTATTAAAGCGACCCCAAGATTGAATCACTATTCAACTGAGATATCTTGTCACATGTTACATCTCAGTTGATTAGTGATTAAATTTTGGAGGCCGCTATAATAACGAAGTACCTTTTATTTCAATATTTCTGGTTTACTGGTGATATATTTGCTAATAAACTTATTTTTAAAGAAATTCTCTGAAATTGTTGCAATTTTTTATTTTTAGTTTCCTTCAAGAATAAAAGTCTGCCTCATTTAAAACTTCTAGCAAAGCATTCAACATTTGCCCCGAAGCGTCTGAATTTAACTAAGCCTGTTGTGAAAAGTAAATACTGTATCAATTTATGAAATGCTTTTTTTCAATGGACATAAAATTATTTGTCATTTTCTGATTAGCGAATTTATTATTTCTTGTAACTTATTAACTTTGCTTTCAATTTTTAACCGTTCACTTATTGTAACACTGTTTTTAATAATGTAAATATATTTCCTATATGAATTCAGAAATGTGACCAATATACATTATACATTACCTAATTTGGATTTACTAAACTAAACTCACGAAGCAGAAAATTTAATTTTTAGCTTCTTTGGCAATAAAACATTATACCGTCAAAAGTCTTTAATCCGGATTCGTCGGGACTTCTCCGATTCCGGGTTATTGGTTTTTCCGGATTATAGATCATCAATTTAAACCTGGTAAGATGGCATGCAGAAATTATAAAATTAAACATATGAAACCGTAATTTATGAAATCGAGCAATTATGATCTAAAGGGTATCAAAATTTACAAAAAAAAAAAAAAAAAAAGCTTAATATCGATTTGTTTACTTTATTAAACATTTCTTTCAAAGCGCGCATGCGTAAAGCATACATTACGCATAGTCGAAATTAGAAAATTGCAACCAGAAAACTATTTTACGTGTATTTGTGATATTTATAATGACAAGGAAATTGATTTAAATCATATCTGAGTACATCGAGATGAAACACTACATTTAGTAATTAATTATAAGCCGAATAAAATAAAAACATCTGCCCTGAAGATAGTGCTGACAGATCAACTTCGAGTTCATTGCACGACGTCCTCCCCCCTACGCAGAGCAGCGTGAAATTGATAAACAGATTTCTGAATGGTTAGAGAAACAAATCACCTCTCTGTCACTTTCTTCATGCCTTTATCCATTTTTTGCAGCAATTCCACTTTTTGTTTAATAGACATCGAAACATGCTTTCACTTTGTAGATCCTTTGGCAGCTCCAGAATTAGAAACTCTTTTTGACATACTTGAAAGTTCAAGCTTACTTTTTATAAAATTGCTCTAACAGTCTGCAAAAAATAATAAGCCAGGTCCAGTTAGAAGATTAAGGAACAATGCAATCTGCAACATTAACTGAAATAGATAATACGCGCATGCGTAAACGTATTATACCCATGCGTAAATGCATATGCGCATGCGCAGGAAGTTTGTAGCTTTGAGGTCCAGATTATGGACGTCCGGATTAAAGACTTTTGACTGTACTGGAATTAATTAGTGGTTTTATATGTGCTGAAAGTAAAATAAAAATCACAAGTATAGTCTAATGAATTAATAGGTAATATTTTAGTTAAAGCATTATGAATGTGATAAATCTGCATCAAATCTTTATGTATACAAAGAAATAGTTAGTTTTCAATTAAAATGTACTTTGGGCCACATTGAGACTGGCTGAATTGAAATGTGAAATGTAATAGAAATGATAATTTAACAACAGCTTCTGTATGGCTAGCAAAGTAAAAAGATTCTTGGTTATGTTAATATTTTGTCGTAATTAAACGAAGCTACGATAAGTAGGAAAAACTTCAAAAATGCCCATGCAAGATTCAACACCGAGTTGAAATGCTAGTTTTCATACCCATCCAGTGACAGCTGGAGCCTCACTTCCCCCTCTTCACATGGTACCCCTCTTCCTCGGACTTCTGAGTTTCTGGTGTTATTCAAGTGCGCATCAGGTGTCAGAACTGATAATTAAGTGTGCAGTAATTACTTTAATTACACAGTAATTTAAATTCCTTGTTATTAAAGTTTTAATTCCAATATGAAAATTTGATTTGGAATTTATATACAGGTATATATAATTATTACTTTCCTAATTAGGATTATCTCCTAGGAAAAGAAGTGAAAAATTGTTGCTAACTGAAACTAAGCAATGTTAAATCTTGCGAAGATAGATAAAATACTAAAAACTAGTTTAAAAGCTTAGAAGAAATTTGTGTGAGAAAACATTACACAGTCATCAAGAACGCACTTTTTAAAATGAAATAAAAATAGTACATACATAAAATAAAAATAAAGAAGGTACATTACAAAGAAATAAGAAAATTATTGCTAATTTCCAAGAAGAGAGCTGACTTTGTAGCAAATCCATTATGCAAATAGAATATTTGGTACTTCTGATTATCCACATTCTCACTGAAAAGACATGAGAAAGTATTCTTGAGACAAAGCAGTATGTTGCCGAAATAATTATGTAGCGACTTGATGTCATTAAACAATATTTATTTAGCAACCTGTTCACAGTGCCAGATTACATGGATTCTACGTTTGTGCAATTCTTTGATGTTTTTTTTACGTGAGAAGTTTGAAGATATTTTTTAGGTGATAAGTTCAGATTTTCTGTCTCGTATCACAATTTTTCCAGTAAAACCAATTCCATCTCCTTATATTAGTGGCACAGAAAATGACATTCTGTGCAAGTACTGCTTGAAAAAATATACCCGTGTTTTTAATTAATCAAAAATAAATTAAGTAATATGGGTTTTGAAGGACTAACAAAATTAGTCTCATACTGTAGATACTTTGTGAAATAGGGAAGGATGAACTTGAATGGTAAATGAGACTTAAATGCTACGCAATCTTCAGTTCAATTATACTCTTTTGCAAAAAAATCAAATTTTTGGGGGGGTGGTAGTGCGCAGTGAATTGGAAGTTGATCTGTCAGCACTATCCTTATGTTCAGGGAGATGTTTTTATTTTATTTGGCTTATAATTCCTTACTAAATGTAGTATTTCATCTCGATGTACTCCGTCTTTGATATGATTTAAATCAAGTTCCTCGTCATTATAATTCGCTTCCTATAGTGAAGAAAGTGACACAGAGGTTATTGAAAACGAAAAAATTTCTATTGACAAATTAGTGGGTATCTCGACACAGCAGTTATAGGACTTAAACAGCGGAACTTTGTAACTAACTTTGTAAACAAGAAATTATGTCTGTTTAATAGAATTAAAGAGAAAGTATTATCACATGAAACGAAGCAACTTAAACAACTTACACTGAAAGAAAATGTTTAATAAAGTAAGAAAATAAATATTAAGCTTTTTTGTAAATTTTGATACCCTTTAGATCATAATTGTTCTTTATTTCATAAATTACGGTTTCGTATTTCTAATTTTATAATTTCTGCATGCCATCTTACCAGATTTAAACTGATTATCTATAATCCGGAAAAATCGATAATCTGTAATCGCCGAAGTCCCGACGAGTCCGGATTAACGACTTTTGACTGTATATTATAGCTTCTTTTAAAGTACATTTTGCTGTGTATGCAATATTTCAAATAAGTTCTCAGGTATGTTTTTCTGCCAGTTATTGCCAATTTTATGACAAACTTTATTCTCTGCCAGCTGTGATTCTTACAGAATATTTGGTTTTTTTAATTCATAAATTGCATCTCATTGGTAATTATAAAAAGCAGCTTTGTGTTTTTATTATAAAATGTTAAAACCAAATCCTTCAAGCACTTTAGTAAATACTTGTTTATTGAATAAGTTTTGGAATTTTTTCAAGCTCTTTTAAGTAATTATTATTATTAATTTAGTACTCTATATTATAGATAGCTATTTCATATTTTTGATTTCTAACCAGTTTGTTTAACCTATAGAGACAATTGCACGAAATCCTTTTGCTACACTAAATACATATTATGACGAACACTGGATGGAAAAGCAGGAAACAGCATTTACAGTATGGTTGAATTATATTCTGACTCCTTCTGATGGCACTGAATCATCACCTGATATTAAAAGTTAGTTTCAATTTTTAATATTATATTAAATGATTAATAAACTAATTTCATTGTTAATGTTGTTCATTGATTCATGTTCATTGTTTTCATTTAATTCTTATTTTAGTTGATTCTGCTAAAATTTGGATTGAAAGTCTGAAGAATATGTGTTCTGTTCCTGCTCCATCTAAAGAAGAACTTTCCTTAAAAACATATACAGCAATTAAGCAGCTTAATAAGTTACGAAAGTCTTCTTGTAATTTATTTCAGTCTGAAGACATTGCTAAAGTGGTCAAGAAAATTGAAATGGAAGTTGATTTAAAAAAAATCAGTGTGCGAAAAGATCGTGCAATTCATGCTGACCTTGGTAATAATTTGTATTTCTACACAACTGTATTTTGCATGTTTTAAGTTTATATAAGCCAACTAATTTTTTTTGTATAATTAGAAGTATTCATCATAAGTATTATTAACTTATTAATCTTTCATCATGTTTAATAGATAAAGTCAATTTCATGATGATGAGTAAAATATGTATCGGGGTATAAATTTATGTGCATTAATGCTGTTTCTTCAAATTTTTCTTTTCCCCATTCCTCCTCCCCTTGTCTATTATCTTTTATGTTGTTTATTTATTAAGATACAATTTTGAATCGTAGTGCAAGCACTATGATTGTTTGCATAAAGAAAATAATATAGTAAGAAAGGGCTTAAATGCAGCTTAATGGGTAATATGAAAAAGTATTTGTGACATTGCAGTAAAATATAAAGAAAGAGTAATTCTATGTGATACAATGTCGGAACCAGATTTTTATTTGTTGCTTTAATCAATATTTTTACATTCCTTTAATGTTTCTCTCATGCATTTTCTTAATTTTTCATGTCTGTTTTGGGGATTGATTTAAAATCTGATTTTTATTCTTTTACCAATATTCACTCAACATATTTAATATCACAGATTAAAGAATAATAACTTTTTACTAACTGATAATGTACAGATTTTTGTAACGAAATAAATTTTAAACTCGTGTTACGTATTTTCAGGCATTAAAAAGACTATATTAGAGATGCTGCTGTCTTATAATCCATTGTGGCTACGTATTGGACTTGAAGTAAATATATATTGATGTTTTTAGAGCTATCATCTAAGTTGTTCAGAGCTGTAACTTCATGTACCTATTTTTTATTAATAAAGCATTGTATTGGATAATTTGTTTATTTTCAGACAATATATGGGGAGATAATAACTCTTCAAAGTAATTGTGATGTCATTGGTTTATCACGTTTTATAATACACAGATTCCTCAGTAATCCTGAAATAGTTGAGAAATATAGTCATCCATCAGTTATAAATTATTACAGAGAAGGTATTTTACCATTTCTTAAATTATCCAATTATGTAAGACAATCTGTTTGCGCAACTTTGCTTCTTTAAAATTTTCCTTTATACAAATTTTCTTTGTTTGCTATGAAAGTTATATATGTATTTTGGATTTGTAGTGGGCATTGTATATTATTACTTTCTTTTAGGATATGAAGATGAGCTGAAGCGTTTTGTACTTAAAAAATTCCTTATCCTTGTATTTTTCCTGGATGCTGCTAAAAGTTCTCATCTGATTGAGCATAATCCATGCCTTTTCTGTAAAAATTCATTGTACAAAGTGAGTAATTTCATTTTTGCCTTCGCTGTGTATTGTATTTCAAGCTCATTGATAGAAAAATCTATTTAGTTGTAATTGATGTAATTATTTTCTGATATTTGAAATTTATCTTTTGTAATAAGTGTGTACTTCTAATTTTATTTGCAGGTTTATAGATTTTTAATTTTATGTTAAATTCTGTTAGATATTTTGTATAATATTAAGTATGGTTCTGTGTTTCTTCTTTATTCCAAATAATTAGGGAAAAATTATGTTTTCATATAAAAGTTGATTCTCATTGTAAAAATTGCTATAAATAAATATTTATCATGAGAAGAGATGTAATTGAAATTGTATTTAAAACAGACATAACATTAACGAGTTTTTAATCATAAAGATCCCCCTTTTTTTCCGTTATTGCTAAAAGATTAATTTTATGCCTAGAATTAAGATTGTATTAAAGTAAATAAGTAATGTAATGCATTACTTCTTATTAGAAAACCAAATAAATTTTCATGAAAAAAATTTCTCTCTGACATTCCCCTGCTATTTTTATGCAAATGCTGATTACATTTTCTTCATTCTTTAAATATATAATCAGCTGAAGAAGGGCTTATAGTTTCTACCAATAAATTTTTGATTTTGAATAAATATGCCTGTTTATAAAATCTGATATAAAAAAATTGCATTATGATTTATAAATTATTTGAGATTCTTCTGCATAATGATCTGTTATGTGGTGACCTGTTATATAAAATATTTACATGTTATTTTTGATGAAAGGTCATAAACAACTTAAATCTTATTATTATCATGAAAACTTTAGGTATAAATCATCTTTCCAAACGGGGAATCTACATTTCTCAAGAAATTACATAGCGTACCTTAATTCACTCTGTAGCTTAAATATCATTGGTGTCATTGTTGTAAATCATAAATGTCTAATAGCAGCATTCATATCTTTTAAATCTATAGGTGATTTGGATCTGAGCTGTAGCCAGTTGGGGGAAAAGATATTTTAAGTTTTCACCTAATTCTCTACCAGTGCACCTTATCACTATTTTGTTATTCTAAATATCAGTTTTTTTAGATGGCTTTTTTATAATGAAAATGTACTGTTATCACATAAGATTCATATTTATTCTTAAAAGTTCTTAGGGTTTGGAAAAGTAATTGTAAGTCCTTAATTTCGGCCAAAATTTAGGAAGTCTTTAATTTTACTCAGCTGGCATTTCCATTTATTTTCTGTGACACTTATTCTTAGTGTGAATGAACATTATTTCAGTTAATGCAGCTTATAATTGAGACATCACTAACTGGTATTGTAAACAACTTGGAACAATCAGCCACCCTAGAATGAAAGTTTCAGAATATCTGATTGGTTGTTTGCTCAAGCTTTCAAAGAAATATCAACAAGAATGTCTATTGGGCTTCGATTTACTGTGACAGAAGATGACATTCAGAAATGTCGGTCAAATTTCAGGAAAATCATAACTTGTATTCACAATTATTAGAAATTCTTTAAGGATATCCCCCCCCCAAAAAAATAGACATGAATAATGCCCTCAAAAGAGGAAGAATGCTCTGAAAGAGTCTGTGACAGTTAGATGTCGACAGGATAGTTAGCCGACACATACAATTAATCGACTGGACTTTTTGCCAGGATGTATATTTAGCCGATGTGGGCTGTTGGCCGACAGTACTTTTAGTTGACATGTACACTACTCAAAAAAAAAAAAAAAAAAAAATGGGACAGTGCTATATCTCCCGTTCTACTGGGTCGATTGACAAAATTCAAATTGCGTTTTTCATGTCTCGAAAGCGCGACTTAGGATATATATTAGATTTATATATAGCACTGTTCTAACATAGGTATTTTGACACAAAATCGGACTTTTTCTGAAATAACATACCAAATTTTTTCCATATTTCGATTCTACGTCTCAAATTATGCCGAAATACCAAGTTTTGTAAAAATTGTACGAGTAGTTTTTAAAATATTAGCTCTCAAAATTTTAGCTCCTCAATGTTAATTGAATTTGGCAAATATTTATTAATATCTCTTTTTTTATTAAACTTTTTTGATTTTTTCTCTCACATTGCAAAATTTAGGTTCATTCCAAATAAAATTTATCCATTTTTTGTGTTTTATTTTTTTAATTTCTATTTTTAAAAATTTTTATAAATTTTTCGAAAAAAAATTTGAATTATAACCTATAAAATTTTATCATCATCTTAAAGTAGGTGTATTTTTTAAGCATATCTGCAAAAAAATTAGACTTTTTTTATTCAAAATTTTCTAAGATATACACGAGTTTACATATTTTGCGAGTTTTTTGAAATTTGGCATCTTTTTTGAACGATAATAACGCCAAATGTGGTCTATGGATTTTTGTTACAGTGAATTGCCACAGCTATTTTTAACCTTAAATTTCAAGTAAGATTTTACGGAGAATTAATTATATGACATTTTTCCCTCAATGAAGCGTAATAAATATTTATTAATACTTATGAAAAGCTATTTTTTTTTAAATTATAGATGATATTATTCAAATTTTTAACTTTTTTTTTTTTTTTTAAATTTCTCTATCTTCCTTTTTAAAAAAAAAAATAAGAGTAAATTTTTACCTTCGGCGTTTTATCGTCTGCTACTACTTACTTCTTTTAAATCGAATTGTCTCTAAAACTGAGAATTTTCGTTTGATATTTATTTGAATTTTATGACATTAACTGCATAATTTATTCTAAACAAACTGTTGCTTTTGAAGTGGCTGAAAGAGCGACTGATACATCATCCACATTTTAAAGCACAGTATATTTTTATAGAAACATAAGATTTAGAATAATCATTTTTATAAAAGTCAAATTATGATATAAACATACAGCCCTCTAGAGACTGAATTAATGGAAGTTCAATGGTTATGTAGAAATGATCTGCAGCTACTTAATGGCTGTATAAGTCAGCAGATTCTGTGGACAAGTAAGAATAATTCTATAAACGCCACCCAACATTCAGGGATTCAATTAACAACGAGGATACGATGTTTATTAAATGAATTTAAGAAATTTTAAAACATAAAAAACCAACTCATTTTATCCTAAAATGTATTTTTGTGCGTAGCATATTTTCATTATATCCTTAAAAATTCTAATTTAGAATGTAATTGTCAAGAACTGAATCCTAATCATCAGTTAATATAATAAGTAATTATTACGGTTATTAATAAATCCTTCTTATAAAGTAATTGCAAATATTTCAAAAAACTTTGTCTGAATGGAAATATTTTTCTATGCAAATATTTAAAATTTTATATTAATCAAGATTGCACACGATATTATTTATTTGCACTTCAATTCTTACCGTCAGTTCCAGTAGAAGTTACAAATCAATTATATTTAATTAAGGATTGGATTGGATTGGATTATTTAATTATGGCAAAGCACACGAGGGCTATCTGCCTAAAGGGATGGATGCCATCGTGGAGGACTTTCTAAGGTAAACTGGCTCGTATACACGTTATACATGGGGAAAACCACGAAAACGCCGATGCGGCGAGCCCGTTCCCGAGATTCGAACCTCGGACCGAACTACCAATGATCAGCGTCTTTACCGCTCGGCCGCTGGTGGGCTATTTAATTAAGGAATGACCATCTAAGTTTAGAAACAGCGTACCGTAACAGCAATTCAATTATTGGCACCGTATCTTTCATGTTACTCCCGACTGGCAAGCTACATGATTTTTAATGAGTATTCGGGTTTTGCTAGTAACTTCCCTTGGAAATCGCGCTTAAACTAGATTAGTTGGTTATTTGAACATAGAAAAAACATGGTAGCTATTTGATTAAGATGCTTTCATAGAGAACCTTTGTAAAGAGAACCTAGAAAACTACGAAAACCAACTATGCAGCCTGGGTTAGATGTCGCAGCAAACAATTAGTATTTAACAATCTTCAAATGCTACGCGACTGATGAGGCTCCAAGTAAATCTCCAATTTAATATTTTATTTGTAAATATTTAAAAAATATTGTTGTTCTTAGACACAAGCAGAATTTAAGTTTTGTTAACTCGTTAGTAAACTACCAAGCCGTAGTGCAAATGAATATTCAATTTCTTTTGCAATAATTGTATTCACTTAATATTCTTGGAATAGGAGCTAAAGAAGGAATGTTCTCGGAAGATTAAAGAAGTGTTTAAATCCAGTGATATTACGTTTGTCTTACAAGCTTTGGATCAAAACGATTCTGCAATTGCCCGAGTAGTTGACTTGTAAATGGCTGTGAATTAAGCAGATGACTTTTAATCTTACGTTTTCTGACTGAAAACGTATTCCAAATGTTTTGTCAAAAATGTCAAAAAAATTGGTATGTTATTTCAGAAAAAATCCGATTTTGTGTCAAAATACCTATGTTAGAATAGTGCTATATATAAATCTAATATATATCCTAAATCGCGCTTTCGACACATGAAGAACGCAGTTTGAATTTTGTCAATCGGCCCAGTAAATCGGGAGATATAGGACTGTCCTTTTTTTTTTTTTTTTTTTTTTTTTTTTTTTAAGCAGTGTACATATAGACAAAAACATGCGACAATGTTTAGTTATATTCGTCCATATTTATCTGAAAAAAGGGACTAACACTAATGAAGCTATGAATTTTAAAATTAAACAGAAAAGCAGTCTTATTTTGGAGTAGATTTTAAAATCACAAATCGACAATAATCAGACATAGGTCTCTATCCGATTTTAGTTTTGTTTGATTATGGCAAAGCATTTGAGGGCTATCTGTCTAAGAGGACGAATGACTTTTTAAGGGAAACTGGCTTGTATACACATTACACATGGGAAAATCCACAAAAATGCAGCCAGCCCATTTGCAGGGATTTGAGCCCTGGACCGAATTACCAATTGTTTAACAACTGTACCACTCGGCTGCTGTTGGATCCGATCTCTATATTTCAGTAGTGGGAAAGAAAATTTCAGCAGCTGGAAGGGCAAAATGATTTTATATGGAAAGAAATGAG